TCCACAGTTTGTTTAACGGGTTACCAGGCGTTTTTTTATATATCGAGGTGGAAACTCAACGATGATACCCCCGTTTCCGTACTTCAACATGGGTTCAACATGGCACTAAAGAAGATTTTTGTAGATCTTATTCATCAGGTATTCAGACCATCGCATAGCGCTACCACTGAGTCTTGCCTCGCTTCTTCCCACACGCTATAATTCAGAGGATGATCGCTAAAGACTTCTTTGGATAGGTGGACACACAATGAGCAGGACAGGTTCGAATACCTCAGGGGTATGCATGAGCCGGGACTTTCCAGTATCACAGGGCTTGATTAGAAGCAAGACAAGAAACAAGCACCTGTACAGAACGTGTGATAAGACTACACGTGCAATGGCAGACGAATCACATGTGTCTGACATATTACATCACGTGGCCTAAGCAGCTCGTGCATATTTCGCGTTTGCCACCCCACGCGTCGCCCGCCTGTCCGCACAATTTGACGCCGGGAACGCTCAAGCCTATTGCTCACCACCGGCGTCTTGCTGATCATGACATGCATGCCATCGATAACTCAGCCCTAGAGTACTTGACCGCACGCTCACACTGGGCGGATGCTTTCGGATCCTTGCCGAAACAAGCCGCCGTCGCGCTATGACGATCGTCATCCAAGTCGCGGCAATTCCCATCATCTGTTGAGAAACATCTCTCCCGTGTAAACGGTATTCATGCATCACACGCAGTCCTACTCAATTCTTCGTCAAGCCGTAGAAGGGCCTTTCTGCGTTGTTCCTCTTGAAACACGACACACGCCCAAGTCAGCGGCAGCCACTTCACCATGGCAGAGCAGGAAACCAAAAAGAGTGGCTTCCGGGCCATGTTTGGCATGAAATCTGGTAAAGAAGCAAAACCGCATGGCGCGCGGAAAAAGCTTTCCAAGAAAGGATCACGAAGCGATATGCTTGGAAAGCTTGACTCGACCGCCAGTGTGGGCAGGACTGCACGTCAAGACTCTGGTAGTTTCACCGACGAAAGAAACGGCTCAACCGTAACTCAATTTGGCCTTCCGGCATACAATGATGTTATTGGGGTTGCACCGCATGCATTGCGCGATAACCCGTACACTGCCATCAATGCTCTCACTGACACGAGCAATACACATCTCTTTGTTGATTTACAAGCAGCCGACTACCGTCGCAATTCAGAGGGACAGCCACAATATGCCGCACCACTATATCACCCACAGAGCTCAAGGTCAGGGTCTCTGCCACAGATACATAGCGAGAATATGCGCCCGTACTCGCCGCCGAAAGCGCAGCCTTCGAAACTCAGCAAAGCACATCGAGCACCTTCGGCGTCAACAAGACAAGATGATGTTCTTGACAAGGATACAGGAGAGAGAAAAGACTTAACCGAGATGATGCATGCGTTTACATATATCGATGGAGTAGACACCATTGAAGAGGAGAGAGACGACGAATCTCTCCTTTACGACCCTTCACGACCTGATGGAACGGCGATGCTTGCCAGTGCATCACCTGAAGTGTGGCTGCGTATTGCCGACTTTTTATCACCTTTGGATGTTGCCAATTTATCATCAACATGCCGGACCATGTATGCTCGACTAGGCAAACACCCATACAAACTTCTTTTGGACCCAGTGCACCGCACGCACCGGCTAGACTTCTTACTCGCCATGGACCCCAAAATGCCACGCCATCTCTTCTGCTTCCCATGCGCTCAATGGCATCTCCGAATCCAACCCGGCTTCGAATCGCTAAAGCCCCAAAACGTACTCAACCCCCTCTTCGAATGCCCAAATATGACAAACATCCACATGCCCCCTCCCCGCATCCGCTTAACCGACGGCCGCACCCTCCCCTTCGCCTTCATCCAACTCGCCCGCCGAAACTGGGCTCACGGCCCGGACTACGGTATCCCACACGAATCCCTCGCGCGCCGCTGGAAAGACCCATATTCCAACTGGACGCACGAATCCGCCTACCACATCACTGAAAAGGGGCACGTCCTCTTGCGCGTCCGCTCCCAACACCACGTTCAAGGCGGCCTCACAGACGCCGCAAAGCGCCTCCTCCTCTTCAGCCGCGGCGACTACACACCGTATTTCAGCGTGTGCGCCCACTGGAAACACGGCATCCTAACCTCCATCCCCAAATGCGCACTCTCGCACATCCCCTACGCAAGCGAAAGCGACACCACCGCCATCGACAAGTTCAAAGAACGCAACCTCGGCAAGAAAATCCTCGGCATGGTGCCCTTGTGCTCGACCTGCCGTCCTATGCGTCGCTGTCCCAAATGCCCCACCGAATACCTCTTCGAGCTCAAACTCGTAGAAGACAAGGCAGTCCGCAGTTATGAGCATGGCCGCTTCAAGCAGGCCCTCGTCGTGACGCGCTGGAGTGATCTGGGACCAGCCCGTAGTCCCATGGATGCGCAGTGGAGTGCCATCACGGGCGAGAACGATGAGTATGATAGTTTTCAGGAGATTGGGCGTAGGGCTGTTAGTGGCGTGTTTGAGAGCGCGTTTACGGATACGATTCCGGGACAGAGGGTGTTGAGTATGAATCCGGCGGGTGTGACGGCGAATGAGGAGGCGGGGGATTGGTATTAGGCATTTATTCGCGCGATGATGAGCGGATGAAATGTACATTTGTTTTTTTCTTCAACTCCAATTTCTGACTTTCAACTCGACAAAACTCCGTGCTTGATGCATTCGCAACTCCTGCCACAATGCACATCAACTAAACATACACACTCACAACTCCCCCAAGATTCTTATGGCGCCCGCACCACTTTCCTACCCGTAACCTCGTACCTCTTCAATTCCTGCAGGATTTTAGGTGAATCAGCAAAGTCGTAGACTTCGACTTTTGGTGTGATTTTGCCCTCGACAGCCATCTGGAGCAGCTCGTCCATTTGCTTCGAGCTACCGGTGGATGAGCCGCGGATTGTTAGGCCTATATTATCAAATTAGCAATGACAGTTCAAGACAAGTTGGATTGGGAAGACAACATACCCTTGTTAGCAATGTGGATGGGACTCATAGGGAACATGAAGGTATCCGGTGGCAAGCCTACGCAGACAAAGACACCACTGTTCCTGCACAAGTCTGGTGCTTGGATATATGCCTTCTCGCTTCCAGCAACGCAAATGACGCCGTGTGCGCCTTCGCCATCGGTGAGATCCCTAACGGCCTGCACGACATCCTGCTTTGCGAAGTCGACAAACGCCACAGCCCCCATTTCCTTTGCGAGTTTTTCTTTTTCAGCCCCACTGTCAATGGCAATCACCTTGTACCCCTTGATACTCGCAATCTGCACACCGATATGTCCCAGGCCGCCGCCCGCACCGACAATAGCCACGAAATCGCCAGGCTTGACTTCGGGCTCGAGTTTGGACACGCCACCTGCTAGACTCAAGCCCGCGCACAGAAGTGGCGCCGCAATCTCGCTCTTGACGCCATCTGGGATCCTAGTCACAAACTGCGCATCGGCAACGACATACTGCTGCAGGGTGCCCCACACATTCCTGCCGGTGTTCTTCTGCTTGGCACAGTGATTCTCCTTGCCCTGTTTGCAGCTACTGCACGTTTGACATGCATTCCACAGCCACTTGATGCCGACTCTTTTGCCCATCAGCTCCGATGACACATTTGCGCCCAGCGAGACTACGGTGCCGACGCCCTCGTGGCCAGGCACTTCGGTGTACTTGCCTGGCCAAGCGAGGTTGTGGCAGTCCGAATGGCAGATACCGCTGTATTCAAGTTTGACGAGGACTTCGCCTGCGGATGGCTGCTTCACGGCTACGTCGTTCCGGATCTGGAGGACGCAGTCTGGGCCGGGGTCTTGGATCCAGCCTGCTGTTTGCGTGGTGGGGATTGCGTCGGTGCTCATCTTGGGAGGTAATGGGTGATTGGGAATGGTGTGGTAAGAGCTTGTGGCGAGAATGAGCGACGGGTTGGTGAAGGAAAAGGGAGTCACGTTGTTTGGGTCTCCAAGATAGCAGAGAGATAGCAATGGCGGGGTGGACGAGTGGAATTGACCCCGCCAATGCCCCACAACCGTATCGTCTTCTCCGTGGACGCACCAATCGGAGTGCGTCAATCTCCGCATCCGAGGTAGTACAGCAGTTCGCAGCAGTCCAGACTTTTGCTGCTTTTTGAACGAACGCACTTGTATCCTCGAAGGCTGGGATTGTACAATTTCCTCTACTAGAGGGTGTTTGAGTTGCGTGCTGCTCGTCCCTATGTCCGTCCCCAGGCCTTTCACTTCGCTACTAGAGGTTGTGAAGAGTGGCAGGGGCTGGCTATCGCTGGAGTGGTCTAGCAAGAAGTTGAGTGTATACATGCTGAGGTGGAGAAGGCAGAGAAGGAGAGGAGGAACTGGGTTGATGGTACGGCCGATGTTATGGCCAAAGTATTCACAGCGATACCAGAAGAGGTCAGGAATTCTTGTGGATGAGAGTCCTGCATTTGGGATGGAAATGGCAAGGCAAGATAGGGTAAAATGGGGAGCCACTACTGCTGCTGGTGCCTTCCAAAAGAAACTCAGCGTAAACAGTACATAACTCCATCTCTTCTAGCTCAAGACCATCACTCTTACTTCCCACCCAACTTTACCCTTTCTTTCTGGCATTTATTGTTCCGGTCCAGTGGAATGCTTCAGCAGATTGGCGTGCAATACCTGGCGATGAGGCTTTCTAACAACGTCACTGTGCGCACAATTACAAGATTGACAATTCACAAATGAACTTTACTCATTGTACTTTGCGTCTTGTGGATATGCCTGCAACTGTCCCCGCAGCAAACAAAGTATTAACTATAGCTGCCCTGTATTGCTGAAAAACGGTAAAAAAAAGGAATCACCAACGCATCTTTATATACATGAATATCTTTCTATTGCAGACATTATTCTAACATTACTAAACACAATCTACCATCATTCCCACGTCGGTGGCTTCCATTCTCATTTATAACCCACTACCACGCACACGTGACCTAAAGGTTACAAGTAGCCTTATTGTCCCCATCGCCATTGAAAACCACACCATCATCCGGCGACGCATCACCAACGTCAACAGTAACATTGAACGTCTTCAAAAAGTAAGTAGCCGAGTAGCCGAAAATCTGGTACACAGCCGCGGTAACAACAACGGATCCATTGTATCCTGCAATGGCAGCAGGCGCCACCACGTCGACGGTGTAGTTGGTGCCCATTTTGTAGCCAGACTCCTCACCCGCGAGGTAGATGGTCTTGAAGTTGAAGCCGAGGGCGCCGGCGTAGGGGGGTGGTGCGCCAAAGCCGTAGGCGACGGCGACGTCGAGAGAGTTTGTCGCGTCGAGGTTGGAGTTGAAGGTGAGGGGGAAAGTTGTGTTCGGGGTGAGGACGGCGGGGACGGTGATGGCGTAGATGGCTGCTGAGGCCGAGGAGACGGAGGCTAGAGCCGTGGCGAGAGTTGAGAAGCGCATGTTGGTCAAAGGTGTTTTGTATTTTTTGGTGTGTTGTTGTATTGGTGTATGTGGTAGAGAAGATGTTTGGATGGTGGATGTGTGAAGTATTCCTTTGGGGGGGGGGGGGGTCTTTGTATTTATATGTAAGTACTGTACTGTAGTACACACGCTCCCTTTTCCCGCATCCTTGCTCTTCGAATGTACATCATTTCCTCAACTACTTACTACGACATCTGGTGCTAACCCGCAAGATGCCGCAGTCGGGTCCAAGCCAAAACAAGTCGCCCCATTTGCGGACCGATAGATACAAACCCTGGCGTGGTAGTAACATCCGAACTCAACGACCATGTCAATTTACTTACACCCTAAACCTCTTTGGTGTGCTTGGACCAGCTTGGGTCACCGCTAGTATATTTATAGAAGATGGTAATCTTTCTCTTTTATAACCCAAGTTGTGCATGTAAAAATTGAGGAAGTAGATTTTCCTCAGTGGTTTTCTCTCTCAAGCAACCAAGTGTAACTGTAGTAGTAGACAGTCGCCTCTGAAAGCAATACACCCACGGGGTCACATCCGGTGCTAGTGCTAGTGCTAGTGCTAGTGCGTGATACGTCATTTTGCAGATCATCATCCGTCACTCCTCGTCTTGTGCGGAGCTTGCTATATTTAGGCGTACAAATGCGTAACTACCTTCTCTCCTCATCAGCGCAAATGTCAGTTGTACAGCAGATGATGCCACCAGTCTTATGGGTTTCAGTGCATTTCACATGGGCAGTCTTTCCAATTGTTTGGATTTTCCGTGGTTTGACCGAAGCAACAGCGCGACTCCACGGCGCATTGTGAACTCGAATCCAGCCAGCTCGGCACTTCGTGACCGGCATGACGCTTGCATTGACCCATTGTTCAAAGGTGGGATGGGATGATCGAGCGCATCCTCAAGGTCACTACGGTTTCGGCATTTTTGTCAACGGCAAAATCTGGGAAAGTGAGAGGAGTTTGGTGGCGAAAGCTCGTATAGATACTACATACCTACGTAAAGTGCAGATGCGGCGGGTAGAAAGCCGAGGAAATAGCGAGTGTGAGTACCAAGCAATGCCACATGGTACTACTAGCGCCACGGCTATCGGCAAGTCAGACTCTTGTCTCGTACCCCGTGTGCACTGTTCATTACTCTGTTTCGACCTTTAGTATCGCGTACGGGTACAGACTTACGCGATGAGTGATAAGATAGGGTGTCGTCTGTGTCAAGTCAGATGTATTCAAACACTTCGTTTTCCAGTGCGCTGGAGTGTCATGAGCTTGGTATCGTGCACGAGCACGTGACAGTCGGCGATATAACAATGGTAACGGAGAAAGATAGAAGAGAAGAGAAGAGAAGGTGGCTTGTTTTTGGAAAATGAGAATGTGTGACTCATTAGCAAATGAGTGAAGGAGAGCAATGCACACTTATTTGTATCACCCATGGCTTGGGTGACAATACAGCCGTTCAATATGTTTGTGCATCCAAACTAGGTGATTTTTTGAGTATCTCTATCCTTGAGCGCTGTCAGCTAAAATATAGATACTCACTTCCAATCTAAAGGGATTTAATAAGGCATACCGAATATGCTGGACCGGAATGTGCAAGACCGACTCATATCGCGCTTATACCGTACAGTCTACACAATACACGGTCATAAATTAGAATGCCGCAGCCACGTGCATGTATTGCGCCTTGCGTTGAAGCGGGACCAGCGTTCAGTTTGTTATTCTCGCCAAATCAAGTCCCAAACTCACGTGGCTAGCGCACCTAACCATGGTTATGACCTTCACTGCCAGATATATGACCATGAAATAATTTCAACTGATTATATCGTCGCACACAAGACACCCTAACTGTGCCCAGGCATTTGCAGCACAGTGCGACAACGTGAACGTAACGCACTGAAAAATTTGTTCCATAACAAACAGCTCGAACGACAGTACCTCAGTGTTTTGCTCAGCAACACAATTCACGCTAACCGGATTCCCCAGTTGTGAGACTACCCACAACACACACAATATCTCACTTGGACCTGCTTCTTTCCGCAAAGGTATTTCCACCCCTCCCTAGCATTGGTTTATCGCTCTTCAAGCGCAAATATAGCCGACACAATATCACAGTCGCACACTCATACGGCAGCGCATCGAGTAGGGTCCTAGTCTGTCTGGCTTTTGATTAGACAACACCTCCACTTGCGCTGACCTTATATAGTGACCTCTCCTGCGGCGATGTCAGCGAAGTCGTGCCATTCAAGTCTTACATTAGAAGCCGCAAGCCAGACGGGTCCAGTACCAATATCCAGTATGTCGGCCCCAAAGTCTCTTGAGTCTTCGCCGCCCACGCCATGTCCTATCCAAATCGCCACCCTCGAGCGTCGCATCGCTGAACTTGAGCAAGACAAAGTGCACCTCGCAGAAGCAGTGTCCGAGTCTAGCCAACGCGTCGCCGAAGCTGTGAAAAGCACAGCTGCCGCTGAAGCCGAGACTGCAGCAGCGAAGCAGCGCGCCCAAACACGCTACACAGAGAGGCTACATGCCAACAACGAGGCGAGAAATCTTCAAGACGCGATGAAGGAGCAGGCCTTTCAACATGAAGATTTTTCGATCAAGGCCAATAGACGAATCAGTTGTCTCGAGGCCAGAATCGCGCATCTCGAAACTGAAGTATCGATCAAAGACGCTAAGATTCAAGAGTTGGAAGAGGAACTTCGCACAATCCACACTGGCTCTCTAGCTAATCAACGAGAGGATGTTAACATGAAGACACAACCTGACAAGATCGTCGAGGACCTCAAGAACAAGATCATAGGACTGGAGGTGTCTCTTGCCAAAGCAGAGCAGGACAAGGAGCAAGCTATGAAAGACAAAGATGCGATGGCAAATTCACAGGCCAAGATTGAAACGGAGCAAGCCCATTTCAAGAGCCGAGAGATGGCACTGATGCAAACTAATCAGATAAAGCTCCAGGACGCCGAATTGAATTGGCGTTCCAAATTAGATATCATTGCGAAGGAATTGAAAGAAGCGAAGAGGGAGGCCGAGGATGCTAAGCATAAATTGCGGGTGGCGACTCGTACGATGCAGAACACCCCTCAGACGCCTGGCGTACAGCAACAGCAGCAGCAGCTTCAGACTTCCAAATTTGACAAGAAAAGAAGATTCAGTCCGAATGGGTAAGTCAAACAGTGTTATAAACGATCTGTACAAGTATAACTAACACATGTCTAGGAACGCTGAAGCTACTGCGGCCGCTTTTCAACGTGCATGTAACCAGTCTCTCCTCTTGAATTGTTTTGGTATGGGATCAAATCTGCTCGCAGGACCGAGCGGAGGTGCACCGAGGACTGAAGCTCCGCCCGTACCAAGGCAGCCCATGAGTATGGCACAGAATACTGGATACCGGCAGTACTCATCCATAAGTTTCGATAGTTCGGCTTGCCAAAGTCCACCTATTCCGATCGCACAACAACAATACTTTCCAGGCCATGGCCCGTCTCCCGTTCAACAGAATGGCATGCAGATGCAACCTGGATGTCCAATGGGACAACAGCAACCCATAGGTCCCCTGTCGTCTCAGCAGCAGCAGCCAGGTCTTGTACAGAATGCGAGATTGAACAATGCTGGGTCGCCGACTGAGACTCACTCAAACCATGGTATCAATGTAAATTTGGCTGTCAATACCGGTAACGTACAGCAGCCTCACCACAGCATGGTACAGCAACCTCCACCTTCCTTCATGCCCAGCCATATGCACCAATCGAACAGCACGAACGCGTCGTTTTTCCCGAACGCGCAGGGTAACATCACTCCATCCACTTATGGCAACGATTTCTTTGCTGCAGAATCAAGCAACGTGGCGCCAAGCAACATCGACTATTTCATAAATAACAACTTGGGGTTTACCAACTACCAAACTGGAGAAACGTTCCAGAGTCCATTGTACAGCAACAACTCTACGCCAAGCATGAACCACAACGCTCAAAGGCAGAGTGGTGCTAACGCCGCTCCGGCGAATACGAACACAACGTGGTCCGGTGGTCAAGGTCCCCCGGCGCCACATGGAGGTTTCGCACCAAGATGAGCTTGGGAAATTACTGAACTGGGTAAGTCATTTGCGTGAATTGCTATTGGAGGAGTTGGAAAATGAATGCGATGAGATCGAAGCGTTGGTTCAAGTGCCAGGCGGACAACACGAATTGTGTGCGTCGGTGATGCTTCGAATTTGGTGCTAGGAGCTGCGAGGAAGGCTCTTTGCATACCACTTTTCATGAGGGTAGTATTGGATTCAAGGTAGTGGACTTCCTATTGACGCCTTCAAATTGAAGAGGGCTTTGGGGCATTGAGAAGAGGCGGATACGCGCTTGGTACCGCTTCCTTGGCAGCGAGGTTGGTTGCGATAATGGGGCGGAGGAGGAAGCAAGTCAGACTATTCGGGGCTCTTAAAAGGGAAACACGTAGTAATCAATGGATAATGTACCCAACTGTAATCATGGATTTATACCGCTGATACTTCAGAACATCCTGATCGTAACAAATCTTCCTTCTCATTGAACATGAAAAAAAAACCAGTTCTTGTCCGTGTATCTGCCATGGTGGAACAAAGTTTGGAGCTACAACACGGTGATATGAGTCTCACCAAACACATGTTCAAACCTTATCATATTACACTCAAGCCCCTGGTGGCTCTGAAGAATCATTTGCCGCTTTCCGATGCAAGCTCGGTTGAGATACTAAAGCGGGTCAGGTTGCAAAGACTCGACGGCGGTGGCGTAGGCCATTCCCGCTCGAGCCTAGCTCACCGAGTCTTCAGGGTTTCACAGCTTCACCCCACATCGCTTCCACCCACCAAGCTCCACTTGGCAATAGCTTGCATATCTTGATCGTATTCGCCCCAATCATACACCGGATGCATCGCGCAAAGTCCTTTAGGTGACAGGCCTGTTTCTCCCGGCTTTGCAGCTTGCCGCACATTTCCAACCCCATGCATTCTCTTATCAACGAGCCATGCTATCTCCGGCCCACGGGGCGTGACGAATGACTAGGGTGGGTGCTTAGCGGAATACCGGTGCGGCATAGAAAAAGACGTAGGTTGCGCGACATTTGGTCTCGCAGCCTTTCTTACTGTTCCCAGGGCCGCTCTTCCTCGTTATAAGAGTCCTCCGGTCATGGCATCCAACGAGCCGGGCCTTGCGCCACTCAGCGCGCCAGGTGATGACCCGATTAAAGGTGCTGTGGACGTCCCTGTTGAGGCCGATACACCAGTCGCGCCCGACCAATTCGACGAGCGCTACGAAACTTCGCGATGGGAAATTTGGGCGTATTATTGGTAGGTATACGCCTCTCTGGAAACCATTGTTACCGCGCCATGTACTGGCTGTGTCGAACCCTTCTAACAATTGGCCATTAGTTACTATGTCGGAGACAACGGATTGACACTTTTCAACTTTGGTCCTACGGCCTTTCAAAACCTCATGTATCTGGCTGCCGGCGACTCTGAAACTCTCTTCTTCATGGGTCGGGATCGCAGCATCAACTCGATTGTTCTTTTGTGCAACGGCATAAGTTTCGCTATCCAGGTCGTTATTTTCTTGATCCTAGGCTCTTTCGCAGACTTCGGCACCTGGCGTCCAAACATCCTCATCGTACTCTCGATAATCGCATTTGGCATTGGATTCGGCTGGCTGGGCGTCCATACCGAAGACAAATGGCACATTGGCGTAGGACTCTACATTGTCGGACTCATTGCGTACCAGACCACCATCACTTTCTGGACCGCTGCATTCCCTGGCCTCGCGCGCAACACCAAAGATCTGCGTATCAAGGCCGAAGAGTTTGCAGAAGGAAAGATTGACCGTGCAGAGTACGAGTTCGCCGATATGATGAAGCGAAACGAGCTGTCCAACGTAGCATTCTACACCCAATCGGTCTTTGAGATCCTTATCCTCGCCGTCATCGTGGGCATAATGTTTGCGCTCCACGTCAACGACAGCGCGGCAAACAACAACTGGGGTCTTTCCGTACTCATCGCGTTTGCAACGGGTGTCTGGATCCTCTGCGCGATCCCCTGGTTCATTCTCGAAAAGCGGCGTCCAGGCCAAGATCCAGGGCGCAGCAACATTATCATAGCAGGTTTCAAGCAGCTTATTTATGCCTCGCAGCAGATCTGGCAATTGCGACAGAGTCTCGCATATCTTGCAGGCTACTTCCTTCTCGGCGACAGCCTCAACACCACCGTCACAGTAATTGGCACCTTGCAAAACGAAATCGTCGCCTACAACAGCCTCCAGTTGACCTACCTGCTCATTGTTGGCATCGCTGCCCAGGCTGTCGGTATCGGCGCATTCTGGCATATACAAAAGTCGTACGGGCTTTCGACAAAGACAATGTTCATGGTCGTGGCTATTTGCATTGTCTTGCTGGATGGCTGGGGCATGATCGGCATATGGACCCAACGCTTCGGTTTCCACAACAAATGGGAGGTCTGGGTGTACCAGGTCTTCTACGGTCTTCTCGTGTGTCCGTGGTACAGCTACTCGCAAACAATGATTTCTGAAGTCACACCACGCGGCAAGGAGTTTTTGTTCTTCAGCCTGTTCTCGATTGTAGGCAAGACGAGCGCGTTCATTGGGCCGCTGGTGAGTAGTGCGATTATTGATGATACGGGAAACAACAGTAGTCCGTTCTACTTCTTGTTCTCGTTGAGTCTGGCCAGCTGTGCGTTTCTGTACTTCTTCGTCGACGTGGAGAAGAGCAGGGTTGAGCAGGAAATGTTTTTGGAAAAGGAGCGCAGTCTTAAGGTGCATGATGAGGGATTGGATGTGTTGATGTAGTAGTTGTGGAGTAAAATTATACATATCTCTCTATCAAGACATTTTAACTCTAGACTTCAACCTTCCTGAACAAAAGCGTCTTGCTTGCATCCGGATTACTATGCGTACCCCACTCAACCGGAGAATACATATCCATCTTCCCCCCCGGCATCTTAACATTATACTGCAACAACACACGCGCCATAACCATCTTAATCTCATTCACAGCAAAAAACCTACCAGGACACGCATGTCTCCCATACCCAAAATTCAAATTCGTCTCATTACTCGTAACACTCTGGTTCCGCGCAATATCCTGCGCTTTCCCACTCTCCCTCCTTATCCTATACGACCTGAACCCGTCGAAGTTTTCTGGGGATGCGTAAAACTGCGCGTCGTTGTAGATGGAAAAGGCGGGGGCTTCGATGTAGACGCCTGCGGGTATGTATGCGCCGGTACTTAGTGTGAAGCCTTGTTTTGCATAGCGGACGAAGGATGCTGTAGCAAAAAAGAAAAGAAGGGTTGCGTTAGTTTTTTTTTTTTTTTTTTAATTTTTTTGTGGGAGTGAAGAAGGTTAAAAGGGGAAGGAGGTTTAAGGGAGGACTTGCTGAGGAACGCGGGGGAAACGCGCATGACTTCTTTGATGTAGCTGTCGAGTTTTTCCATTTGCTGTAGTGCGCGGAACGTGATGGCGCCGTCGGCGGGCAGGACGCTGCGTATTTCCTCGCGGAGGGGCTCGATGTATTGTGGTGTGACAGCGAGGGTGTACAAGATGCTAGTGGCGGTTGCAGTTGTTGTGTGGATTGCAGCGAATATCATGGTGAGTTGATACTGGACAAGGTCTTTGACGGATTCCTGTTCGTTTCTCCTGTTAAGCATCCACTGGACCAAGTCATCTGGCTCCTTCCAGCTAGGGTCGTTGGCCTTTCTGTGGATTCTGTCTTCGATGAGGGGTCTTAGTATCTTTTCAGCGAGCTTCTCGCGTTGGCGGAGCTTCTTGACTTCTGGTGTGCGCGGACCCAGGTAGGGCTTTAGCCACGGTCGTAATGCCTTGACGGAATGGACGGCGTTCATGAATTCTAATGTGTAATTGGCTGCGGTATCAATGTATTCGGGATCTTGACACACTTCTGGACCGACGAAGACACGACCGGAGACCTTTGCGATGAGGAGGGTTAGTGTGTCGAAGATCTTGACTTCGGTCCAGTCTTTGCATGGCGGCATTAGTTCTTTTAGTCCATCATCAACCTCATTGCAGATGGTCAGGTTCAGCCGGGCTATTAACGGCGTTAGCGACACTAAATTTTGAGCATCATTTCTTAAGACCTACCTAGCGCTGGCGTAAGATCAGCTTTGACAGAATTGGTGGGAGTCGGGCTACCAGGGTCCATGCGTGTGTGATCAATCTCCATTAGCTGCAGGCGGTTAACTATATTGTTTACCATGAGAGTGAATTAACTTGCTTGGGATATAGCCTCTCTGCGGCTGAGAACGTCTTCGGGAAGTTTTCGTAGTTCTGGCAGGAGGCTTGCAGGAATGACGACGGTAGGTATACCTGCGAACACGTGAGTAGTGGGTAAATGTGTGCTTTTAGAGAGAGAGCCAATATACCTTGTTCGTTCATGAGTGCGTAACAAGAGTTCTTGAACTGGAATATTGTCAGTGTCTAGCTTTGTGCGAGTGCGAGTGCGAGATGATGTTACTTTGGTATATCCCTTTTCATAAATCTCTCTTGCTGATGAGAGATACGTTTGCCGATACTTCTCGCCCGTTCCATATTCGTTCATACTGGGAAACTTTGCAAGATACCATTTGCGCTGTATTACGGGCCATATGGCATATGCTGCAAAGATGAAGACAGCGACGCCCATCATCTGCAGAAACTGTGGAACTCCGACCGCTGTCTTCGGATCCATGCTAGTGGCGTTGGTTTGTATGAAAAAAGTCAAGTATTGAGTCATGTCGAACTGACGAGACCAACTCGAGCTGCTGCAGATATACCGGCGTTGAGAAGTTGACTCCTAGGAGTGGAGATTGCCTTGCTTGAGAATAATGTTTCTTTACCATTGTCAGACTCTATTATATAGCTGGCGGCCTGACCAGCATTCAATTTTATGTGTAAGCAAGACTCTACAACGCTGTCTCTTACATCCATATAGCCTATACAGTATACAACTTACTAATATGATCTACGATCTGTGTTACGGATCCACAGGAGCCAAAACGTCCGTACGCGTTGAACCACCAATAGTACGTACGCACAATTTTTTTTAGTGCGTATTTTATTTCGAAAAGAGTATAGAAAAGGGTATAGGCATATCTTAATCTAATTTGATAAGCTGTAAGTCTCATATTCATAATATCATTGGAAGAAAAGACGAGAATATAGGATGTACCCTTGTTTCTTTCGGACCGGCCCTTGGTGTGACCTTAACAGCCCCGATAATACCCTTAGTACTAGTATGATTATGGAAACTGTCGCGACCACCTCCTATCCAGTCGACAAAAAATGCGAGAATCCAAGACAGGTCATACTTCCTCCGGTCAGTGGCACCAACCACTCGCGCCTTTCTAAGTTTTTCTTGCCTGTGAATATCACACTGGTACATCGCAAAGATGATATATGCAAAAGATTGAGATAAGTATAATATCGCGGTAGGGTTGTGCATCTCTCAAGTAGCTGACTTTCTACCTTATTGTCAAATTTAGTAAAGTACTAACCGACGTAGAGTCTGACAATTTTGATCCACCGGGTATCCCGTAGTGAACATCGTGTTCTTCTAACCCCACTAGGCAGAACCGCTATCCCGATGAAACCTACCCATGCATACTAGGCACTTCGTCCTCACCACCTATCGCGGAGTCAACCATCCCCGCTTCATCTGCACTCGATCAAGTCTAGGATCAGTAAAGGCCTTAGAAATACATATAGCCGGGACACACTGCCTTTGCTTATTCAACGAGACATGAGTGGAGCTAGTCATGGCCGGGAAAGGGTTCGGTCCGGTCCGAGAAGGCGACGTCACAGTCCGGAACCCCTCGGATCCATTATACGGCAGTCTAGACAGACCCACATAAGGTAAGTCTTTTTTTTCTGATGGTCAGAAAATGCACTTCCAGGTCGGAAGTTGCACATTAGCTGTGCAGAAAATAAGATAAAGACGATATGTGGTGACCTTCTGTAACCCTTGAGGTATGAGCTCCCGGTTTGGACTAGTTCCGCTTCCCGATCGTAGGCGGTCGATAGAAGCCTGTTCACTTCTGGTTGTTTCTTTTATAATACTAATACACAAGGTTGTGAGCAGCTTTGGTCGAAACTGTTGACCAAGCTCTAGTATAAGAGTGAGGTGTCTTGTACTACAGAAAGGACATCCGATTTCTCATGTTTCATTTTAATCATTCTACTAGTATAACTCCTACATCTCGAACTCCTCTCTCCGTATTAGTACACTGCTGTGAGAATGCCTAAGTTTCATAAGACGACCATTCCATTGACTATCTGCCGCATATCCCCCCGGACCTGGGTATTTCCCACCACTTCATCCTCTATAAAAGTCTAAGGCGCACGAGTATCCCATCTATTTCAAACCCCTACCCCGCTCCAAAACCTCCTTAACCACTTCCTCCCCCGGAAACTCAACCTCACTCATCGCCACAACCCGCTCAACCAACTCCCTTGCCTTCTCCACATCTACATCTACCCCACTCTCCACCCGCCTCACCATCTCCCCCTCAAACTTGGCGCAAAACTCCTTAAACCCCATTGTACTAGCACGCACACCCCAATCTAACCTATTCTCAATAAGCACCTGCATCAACTCGCCTTAGAACCCCGTTTCATCTTGCGATGTAATAGCATGGTTAAATAACCCGCCGATCTCACCCAGTGAGAAGAGGAATTCATACACGGATGAACGATCTGCTGCGCGTAGTATGTCGTTGGGGGCGAGGGTTGCGCCGTCGAAATCGATGAGGACGAGGGAGGGTAGAATGACGGGGTTGGTAGAGAAGCTACAGCGGAAGATGTCGAGCATAATGTTTCCGCTAAAAATGTCGCCGTGGGCGATGTTGGCGGTGGTGTGGAGCCATGCGACGGTTTGAACGAGTTGCTGCGTGATGTGTAGTATGAGGGTTGCGGGGAGTGTTGGGGTAGATGTGGTATTATGTGGGAGGGAGTTTTTTGGACTGCAAACTGGAGCCGAGAGGATGAGTGCTTTGATTAGTTGGACGAGGTTGAAGCCTTGGATAGCATTTATGGCGAGCCAGTGTGATCTCGGTTCTGCTGCTGATAGATTATAGTTGATCAGAGCCGGCAGTTGTTGCTCTACCTGACTACCAGTGAGGAGGCTCTGGATACGTTGGAGAGCCAGAATCTCCTGGGCAAGGCCGAGACCCAATGATCCAATTTGCGCCGTCTTGACAGCGACAACAGCTGTGCTTTGCCTTGAGTCTTTTGGCTCATTTGAGGCAGATGAAGCGGAAACGCAAAAAAGCACTTTCCCGCAGTTACCTTGTCCAGCTTCATTGATGATAAGATATTTGTTGGCAAAATCGCTAGCGATGTGTATCGTAGTTGAGATGGTTACGCTGTGACCCATGTTGCAAGGCGTTTGTAATCTGTGTTGGTGACCAAAAAGGGAGAGTGCCCCGGATTGATATACAAGAGAGGGACATGCTACATGTCTCATCCATTCGGTCGGGCGAGTTGCGTGGATCAATGAGGGAAGACAAACATTAGTACTTTTGGATTGCTTGCCATGGCTCCGTGGCAGATGATAACGAAACTAACAATTTGCCAGAATCATGAAGAAGTGGCGAAAGAAAAAGGTAAAGACATGATGACGCACGTAATGTTGAGACAATGTAAAGGTCGAGCGGAGAGACTTTCCACAGGCTGGCACGAAGCGATGTGTCTCGCTTTGCTACAGCGTGTTCATGCTATAGTAAAAGCAGGACCAAATCGTACACAGTGGAGCGAATGCGTCTATGGTGACTATCTTGCACACAACGCTCTTTAATGATGTTACGTCAAACGATTGAGGTTGGCTAATAGTGGGCAAACGTCGTGAAGAAAACGGAAGCACCGAATCTTATGGAATTCGTCCCGCGCGAGCCCGGAGGATCTTCTGCTTTGTTGTCGCATTGACTCCATGGTATGTACGGTAGTCTGTGACATAGCGGTTTGTTCATAAGACTTGCAGTATCAGTGTGGTGTGTGGTCGCGTTGTCGCTCACCGCCGCTGATATAAGCTTATTTGTGAAACATCTCCAACTGTGTTTGAAGTTTCGTCGAAGGATTATTTTCAAGGGGATTCAGGATCGAACTCGGTGGTATCCATGCCCCAAATCTCAATATGCTTGACACTTTCCCTGCTTACTATTTCGAATTTTCTTATTGGCCCAGCCAGTTTTGCCTTTACACTCTTGTCTTCAACTCCATTGCTCGACTCTTTGCTGTTTGGTGGAAAGTATACTCCACCAAGCCTGAACACCAAGTTTTCCCCAAAACCAATATATTTGACATTTTTGTACTCCGGCCGCCAAAACTCTGTTCCGAGTGCGAAAGCGTGAGTGTCCGGATCCATCATGTCGGGTTTTTCATTGGGGTCCGTGTTTGGTCGGACCAAAAAACGGATTGCCCAAAGCTTGGGGATAAGGGCAAAGATTTGACGCAGGGACTGAAGCGGTGGGACAGAGCCAGCAAAACCAAACTGCTCTAGATTTGGACACGATTGGCAAAGCCTAAATAGAGTATCCTCGGATAAGATCCATCGATCAGAAAGGAGCAGGTGGCGGATTGTACGATGATTGGTCTGGATAGCAGCAATGTACTCGCTTGCAACATTTCGTGTACGAGCCTCGGACCCATGAGTGGGTGTACCGTTGGCACTCGCAGAGCCGCTACTCATACTGGGTGTCAGGTGGGATGGCGTTGTGGGTGTCGCAGTGCAACTGTTCGCCTTTGAATACAAGGAGTCGTTTCGCCTACTTGCGATGAAATAGACACGTTCGATGCCCTTGCAGCTGCTTAGTGATTTAGCCATGGCGGTATCTGTATCGTCGGTACGAATCATCTTGAGGTTGGGTGCATATAAATTGCCAGGGGTCGCCTTCCACGAATTGTCAACGAAGACAGTAAGAGGATCAGAAGAACCTCCACAATTGATAATTGTCATCTCAGTCCTAGTCTCCCGACTGAAGACGTCGTACATGTCTTCGGAGGGGTAGCGAGAGTACAAGTTATACAAGGTAACGCGCTTGACTGGCAATGAGTATTTGGCAGCTATACAGCGACCAAATATGGACAACAAATTGACGGATTCTTCGCCCTCGGCGCGCATGCGTGGGCTCCAATGCAGAGTGATGTTTTCAAGCTGTTTGGAGCCGAGCAAAAGTAGCGAGATATCATCGGGATAACAGAGAGGGTCTATATCGTAGACAACCAAGGTCTGGAGGCTGAGCAGCGGGGGGATGATGGTAGTGGGGCGTGGCGTACGTCGCAGTTGGCACCTGATGGTCAGCGAGGCCAACGTAGGTCTACTCACGAGACCCTGGTAGATAGTGTGCAGTGGTGGAGTGTTAAGTTCCCAGCTGGAGATGCATTAGCAAAGCAAAGGAGTCGGAGGGAGAGGGGGGCGTGAAGGCGCCAACGTACGCAAAGCTGTCGAGACTGGTCATGCGGTCGATTGCAGCCCGCATAGCAACCTGCAGCACCATGCTACTGTCCGGCACACGACCGTGTCTGTAGTCTTCGGTGTCTTGCTCGCGCCAGTTGCCCAGGACGCGAAATTTGCGTATGTAGTTGTTGAAGTTGCGCGACACGAGCGTGTTCAGTCCCATGGCAAAGGGGCTGCCACTACCATAGCCTTCCGGCCTGCCATCGACATATCGGATTTCTGAATAGGCGCGCAGTGTGACATGCTCGTACAAGCGCGGCATGGTCATGTAATAGAGGAGGCGCGAGGTGCGTGTAAGGCGCGCAAGGTCAGCGACATGGTCGAGCTTGGGTCAGGGTTAGCGGATGGGTTCTTGCGAGGCTCGGATGGCATACATGTGCATACGTATGTGAGAATCAGATGGACAAGGTGTAGCGGGAGCTCTTTGCCATGCGTTGCATCTGGATGCGATCGTGCTGGCGACGTGAAGAAGGTGTGGACGGGAGCCATCAGAGGCATGCCGGCGGCAGCATACATGTTGGCCATGAGAAAGGTCGATGGCAGCACATTGAATATCCAGACAGACGCGGCGTTGGGGGGGTCATGGCAGCATTGTCGTCAAGCACATACGTACATGGACGTTGGCCATGACCTTGCCCAAGCCAGTGTCTGCTTGTGCGCCCAGGGTGTACTGGCGCTGTTCGCGCCACCAACCCGAAATTGGTCCGGCAGCCCCAGCACCACAAGATCCACGACTAGCATCTTGCTGCACTAGGCCGTCCACAGCCGCAAGACACCCCGGACACATAATTCCGTATTACGACACACAACGGCCTCGTCCGGAAAAAATGAGCCACAATCCCCGGACTGCGTTATTGCACTACCGCTGCTTCTGCTACTCCTGCTGACGTAGTTGAGCGGCGATGATACAGACAACCCCTATGTCCAGAGCCTTCGATAATTACTACTTTGTCCTTCACAATGAGCACCGGTCCGTCTAACAAGACTAGTGCCTCAAATCGGCCCAATCGTGCAGGCCCATCACTGCGAATACCGCCAGATGACCCTTCACCCTGGTCTGAAGAACCAAGGCTGTCTGGCTCCATATTCATCCCCAGGAGTTCGAAAGGGAATCTCCACAGTGCCTTCAAATACACTCATTGGTACCGCCTTGTCCCTGTCCTTGTCCTGCCCTGCCAACCTGTCCTCTGGCACAGTCACGACAACACCACACTCCCAGTTCCTGATGTTGAGACTGCCCATCTTGCCATTTTTGATTACTTTTTGCCCTCCCCATGCCGATTCCGATAGGTTGGCCGACCCAACGTAAACCCACCCAACCGGCCATCCGTCCTTCTTACGACCGCGTGCCAACAGAAGTTTGTTATGAGATAGCATCCCTGCTCGCAGCGACTCATAGTCGCGGAGACACTCTCTCGGGAATGTGGCTGTGTTATAATGTTGTTGCGACAAGGAAATGATACCACCGCAGTCGGGACCTCCGACACTTTTTTCCACCGTCTCGTTGGTGGGGAAGTAGATCCGGATATGGTTACGAACATGAGGAACCGTGGCCGTGTCTGCTGCGAAGCATTGTCCGCATGCTGCAAGGTACAAGCGTGATAGGAAACTATCGTTGATAGCACCAAGCGAGGAAGCGGCGTAATCTAGTTCTATTTGCTCTACCTTGTCAAGGCGCAAATCCTGGATGGCTCTTGTGAGGCCTGGAAGGCCTGTCGGATGCTCTGATTCAGTTTTATGTGAACCGCCACTACAATGTGTTAGCTGAAGCCAAAGATTATCATATGAACCATCATACATGGAATGAACAAAAGCTAAGTGACTGGTTTGTGAAAAATCAAAGTTCAAGATGCCCTGCAAGACCATCTCTGGTACTTTCTGCATCTCCAAGAAATACATCAATTCTTGACCAAAGCGTGTCATGTTCTCTTTGGTGGAAGTCGTTTCATTGCCCCTACGGGGCAGGTCGATAAGAAAGACGGAGTTTTCCATGACACCAGGCTGCCAGTCATTCGCAACCTCTCCCCAGTCGGTCTGTATCATGTTTGCAGTTGGTATTACGATACGTAGCTTCTTCGACCCAAAGAGTAGCATGAACTTGCTGTGCATACTTTGTATCATGCCGTCCATGGGTGGAAAATGAATCTTCAGATTCGGTACGCCCATGTCTTCCATTTCCTTTTGCCATCTCTGCTGGACGTCTTTGCCTTTTGCATTCATGATCCATACCTGTTTGGTCTTGACGGGGTTCAGCTTTTTGAACAACCATTCAGAGTCCCACATGAATGAACTTATGACTGCCGTGCGAACTGTGTCTGCTTCTAGGACTTCCTCGATGGTCATGTCGTCTGTCCTAGGGTATTTTGTGGCGAATGTCCGCTTGATAGCGCCCATAGGATACCGTATGGCTGTGTCTGTAGATGACGCAGGAAGTGGTATTGTCTTTGATGCCTGTTTCGAAGGTCGCTCTGGGGACGACTCCCGCTTCCGCTTTCCTAGCCTTGCGAGACGCTCTTCTTCCATGGCTTTTCGATCCATGCCCATGGAGCTGAGACCTGGCTTAACGGGAGTAGATATCGCTATACTCTTGTTGAGTGGCTGCACATGGTTATCATTGCTGTCTCCTTGCAAGGATAGGGCAATAGCACGTTTGAGATCTTCGTCATCGTCATCCGTGTCCGAGACGAGGTCGATGGGCTCGCTGGAGACTGCCTTGATATTCTGCGCGACGTCCGCATCGGTATGTCGAAGCGAGTTTGCCACAGCCATCTTGTAGTCTTCATCGTCGGATGACATTGCAGTTCTGATGGCTGCAAGGTCGTTATTGTCGAGCGTGTTGATGGTGGGGTAAATAAGAGACAAATTGCACGCGTTAGGTTGGGAACACGCTCGCACGTAGTCACGTGGTCATAGCTTGGCAGTGGTTAATGTCCACCCCCTAGGTGGCGGCCTGATGACGCCTTGACAATCTACTGGCAATACGAAGCAACAGACTCGACGCATTGTTCTCACATCCAGCAGGTAAGCCTATACCCCTGATGCTTGTCATTATTTTGCCTCACCGGTCGCACTCATCCCTGCACACCGGAACTGCCCAAGACCCTGATGCAAGACACGCTGCACGCACAGCCCAGAGCCCGAGCTCGGATAGATGAATGAATCTAATGCACTGGCCGCAGTGGCTTGTCCGCCATGCATCGTATGCATTGCCTATTTGGTCCGCTAAGCCACCACGCTGGCATGAACCCAAGCATCCTACCAATCCCAATATCCTCGGCCATCTGTAGTACAGGGGAAATGTGGCTGATACGTATATCCAGACAAGGAGAATAGTAGAAGAGCGATAGCACTAGCGCCCTCGATACCAGCCACATTACCTCTTCCACGACTTCGCATCGACACCTTATGTAAGCCAGATTATGCGTTTCCCTCGTAGCCCTGGCTTGCATCTTGGATTCGCTGAGTATTCTAATGTACTACACAGCGCCATACATCTTTCATGTACCAAACATGACCCAGGTACACTGGTATTTCCCCCACCCTATGCACACATTTCAACCCCCATGAAGCGTAGAAACAAACATGACATGGTCCCCTTTTTGTACTTGATAGTCATCTTCCCCTTCTAGTTCCCAGTCCGCTTCGTTAATAAGGACCAGGATGCCAGGTCGTCTGATTCAACATATTAGTACGTACGAGGTTACTTTGCCCTCTAAACTTACACAGTGCCGTCTAGCACGAACAGTTCTTTACGTGGGTCCTTCATGACTTTGTCGCAAAGAAATCTCACTAGAAAAGCGACAGTTGTGGGCTTGCCAGATTCGTCTTTGGCGGGCAGTGAGAGATCGTATTTCTTCTGATTGGCAAAGAGGATCTCGAGCCCTCCACTGTGAGGGGAGTCAATGAGGAGCGCATTGCGAAGATGCCGTTGAAATATACCTGAACTCGACTGTTATTGGAATAGTGCCATCGCTCGACATGATTCTTATCAACAACAGCAAACAGAGAAATATTGACAATGTTGAAATGCTCGTGTTGCAGAGATGGGTTGTGCTTGTTCTGGCCGAGGATGCAAACGGGTCTGCCGCCACTACTACCTAAGCGAGACTAGCGCCAGAGAAATCCTTATGGCGGGATGACTAGATACAGTACTCGCGCAGGCACAACAACCATTGCAAACAATGCACGTCTCTCCTGAATTCATAGCCACGGGTGGCAACCGAAATCCCGCGGCCGCCGATTGGGATGACGCTGGTTTGCAATTCTTGGCTTTTGGCGCTGACAATAATATTGCCCTGTGGGATCCTCAAGTGAGTCCGCAACAGCAATGACATACTCTTTGCTCACCAAGACAGGATGAAGCACTTCGCGGAGTACAAGCAATCTTAAGCGGGCATACCAAGCCTGTAAATTCTGTCAAGTTCTTCCCTACTCAGTCATCAGACGTCTCAGTCTTGCTTAGTGGATCAGCCGATAACACCATCCGCATATGGCGAGGCAGGAGAGATGAACGCTTTGAATGTCTGAAAACTATATCGGAACATCAACAACCTGTCACCCGGATAGCCACACTCCCTGGATCAAATACCTTTGCCACTGGATCCTCCGATGGTACTGTCAAGATTTGGAGGCTCACTCACTCTTCAGACTTTGCTTCAATTGATGTCGACATTGTCCAGACCATAACCCTTTCTCCCAAATACTTTCCCCTGAATCTAGCGCTTGCGAAATTGGATGAAAGCTCAACCGTGCTGGCTGTCGCTGGTACTCGTACAACCATCCAGATATTCGTATCTCAAGACAGCCAGTTTCAGCTTTCGGCTACATTGACCGGACACGAAGGATGGATCCGCGCACTTGCTTTTACCAAAGAAACAGCAGACTCAAACAGTGATCTTATTCTGGCTTCTGCAAGCCAAGACAAGTATATTCGTCTCTGGCGACTTCACCGAGGAGACGAACTTCCTGCTGCGAGCACTGCGCTAAATGACCCTGCCTTGGGTGGTATGGGGAAATCGCTATCGAACAAAGCTCATTGGATTAGTTCAGCTGCATCCAAACATTCAATAACATTCGAGGCTTTGCTGTTAGGCCATGAGGACTGGATCTACCAAGCGTCTTGGCGGCACCGGGATGGAAAGCTACAGCTGCTGTCCACTTCCGAAGACAATTCTCTGTCGATCTGGGAGTCTGATCCTACTTCTGGTGTGTGGGTTTGTGTCACTCGGTTAGGAGAGATCAGTGCCCAAAAAGGTTCGACAAGCGCTACTGGCAGCGCAGGGGGTTTCTGGATTGGACTCTGGTCACCGGACGGCAACACAGTAGTGTCTCTCGGTCGTACCGGCAGTTGGCGAAAGTGGACATTCTCAGCTGTAGAGGATATGTGGACACAGCAGGTGGCTGTTACAGGGCATGTGCGTGAAGTCAAGGGTGTGTCATGGTCGAGAGATGGCTCGTATCTACTCACAACAGGCACTGACCAGACAACACGGTTGTACTCGCAATGGAAGCGCGACGGTATGTCGCCATCATGGCACGAATTCTCACGGCCACAAATACACGGATACGATCTCAACTGCATCGATACAGTCTCGGATACTCAGTTCATCTCCGGTGCAGACGAGAAGCTCCTCCGTGTCTTTGACGAACCAAAAGGCGTCGCAGAGATGCTCCACAAGCTCTGCGACACACAACCGTCCAAATCCGCCTCATTCCCAGACGCCGCCAATATCCCCGTCCTAGGCCTCTCAAACAAAGCCATCCAAGCCGTCAGTGATGAAGACGCCATCGAAAACGGCGATGACGACGACCGCGAAGCCATCGACCCCGCCTCAGTCATCCGCAGATCTACCCTCGATTTCAAACACCCCCCCTTTGAAGACCACCTCGCCCGCCACCTTCTCTGGCCCGAAACAGAAAAACTATACGGCCACGGCTACGAAATCTCCGCCTTGGCCATCAGCCACGACGCCAGCCTCGTCGCCACCGCCTGCCGTGCAAGTTCCATCGACCACGCCGTGATCCGCCTCTACGACACAAAAGAATGGCTCGAAGTCAAACCGCCACTAAAAGCACACTCCCTCACCGTCACTTCCCTGGCTTTCTCCCCAGACGACAAGTACCTGCTTAGCGTAGGCCGCGACCGCCAATGGGTCATTTGGGAACGCAGCCCTGATGCACCATCGCTTTTAACTCTGAAACACGCAAATCCGAAAGGCCATTCTCGCATGATTCTCGATGCGGCATGGACGTCGATAGCGGATCACCCAACGTTCACGACGGCCGGAAGAGATAAGAGCGTCAAGATATGGCAGATGACCGATTCAGAAGTCATCCTCAAAGCTACGGTCGCGGCAAATGCCCCTGTTACGGCTGTGGCGTGTAACACCACGCGCAAAGATGCGGGCCAGAAAGTTGTCTTTGCGTTTGGAACCGAAAACGGGGACTTGGGGATTGGCAGTGTGGGTATTGAGGCGCTGGATCAGGTTGCGGTGGCTATGGTGGATAAGGAGGTTCTACCTGCTAAGACGATTAACCAGATTGTTTGGCGACCAGGCAGAGGGGGTGAGGGACAAGAGCAGATTGCCGTTGCGAGTGATGATACTTCGCTCAGGATTTTTAATGTCAGGGATGATATGGCGTAGCAAGTATAGAAAGAATAAAGTGTTTTTCTCTCATCCTGCACTCAATGATTTATATTTTGCGAATCTCGAATGAAATGAAGAAACAAGCTCGAAAAAAAAGAAAGCATGATTGATGAATGTCATTAAATTATATATCGCTCGGGGGGGTATCTTGTCCGCACGATTGCTCACACCAGTTATCCTCCACGCCTCATCTCTTTCCCTCACGCATACCGCGGTCCAGCACCCTTTTCATTGCTCGGCCCCGCCACACCAACACCTGGAGCGCCAGCACCTTGTTGTGCAGGATGATACTGCATCGGCACCATATACCCCTGCTGCCCCATCTGCTGCGGCATTGCAAATTGCGGTTGTTGTTGTTGTTGTCCTGGCGCCTGCTGCATATACATGTGCTGAACCGGATATCCTTGAGGAGGAACCTGATAGTACATCCTCTGTCCCATGCCGGGCTGCATATGTGCCTGTCCTGGCGGGGGTATGATAGCACCGTTGTCGATCATAGTCTGAACGATTCCCGCGGCGAGTTTCTCGGCGTCCTTGCTGACTTTTGTGCGGTTGCGGCGGTGGGTGTCGACACAGGCCCAGACGAAGAGGACAAAGTGCAGGACTAGGCCAAAGAACTGGCATACGACACCTGTCAGGTTGACCCTAGCGCGCTGTGGCTTCTCGGCCCAAAGCTTGTTGACGAATGCATCTTGCTCGGCGCAGTCTTTAAAGTTCATCTCGGAGAAGACGCTGTAGCGGCTGGTGCAATCGCGAGGACTGGTGATGTAGCTCGTATCTTCCTGCCAGACCCAGGTGTTGTTGGCCGCTAAGACGTAATCGCCATGAGAGCTGGAGCTAGAGTAGTCGTAGCCCCATTGATCAGGGCCGCCATACATGCCGTAATCCATTATGTTCTGGAGAGAGAAAAGCGCAAAGAGCGCTGTGACGATAAAGGCTAGCCATAGGAGTAGTTCCATCGATACGCGCACACCGGGATGTACAGTACGTTTCCGCACAACGAAGACAATGATGCAGATGAGGCACCAGGCGATGGATATAGACCAAGAGATTAGACTGGGCCATAAACCCCAGTATGAATCGAGGATGTAGTAATCAGAGGCCCCAGTGCGCGTGGTCATGAGCCACGCAAAACAGCCAATGCCGACCAAGCCAGTTATGATGATAACGGCCATGATGGCGAACTTGAATTTCCAGTATCGGTCGCCAGCATTGAGTTTGTCGTTCAATGAAAGTGGTTCATCAGCTGTGGTCGCTTGTGGGGCTGCAGCAGTTGTCGTATTCGGACCGGGTGAGGGAGTACCCGCAGCAGCGATCGGCGCATCTTGGTTCACATTCGCGTTGGTGTTCGCACTCGGTCTGGTAACTGATTCCGATGGTATTGCTGGGGGCTGGGGTGTAGAGTCCTGTGTATTTGAAGACGGGGTCGGTGCCCCGGTTGCCGGTGGGGCGACCTGAGGTTGCGAGGTGGACATTATTAGATAGTACTGATCAATTACTTAGTAGAAAAAAAAGAACGAGTGTCGATATTGATGAGAGCGAGTGAATGTGCAAAAGAACGCGCGATGCCAACGGTCAAAAGCGAGGCATAAAGAGGAAAGAGATTGCCAGGCAGCAGAGGGTCAAGACTTCTCCTGCAGCCTCGCCACGTCCACAGCGCGCTGGTTGCCTGATCCCAAATCGTACTGGATGGCTTAATTTAGCTTGAGGCTGCACCGGAACATTGTAGGCCCGCTGAAATTCGATGCAGGAGCATCTCTTAGCTCCGCGCTATCATGAGCTTGATTTAGCCTTGATTAAACCACTCTATCCGTGTTGAAAATTTCCTGGTCATGCCTCTCGGCTACGAGGTAAACGTGTAAAATGGCTGCGCTTGTGACGATGACTGAGCAATTGACAATGAGTCACCCGCTCTCTAACCAACCAGGCGCGATGTTACGACCCAATAGACCTGATCTCCACTGTCTCGATTATAGCACGATTGTATAGCATCCAAGAGCAATCGAAAAGTATAGCCACCAGGAGTCAGTCTTAGCATTAGAAGGCTGTAGTTGAATATGAAGGAATGGGGAGCCAAGACATTATACCATGACAAGCGAACATTGCCAAACCCTTTCTGTGTCTTTCATATTTTCCCAAAGCCGGCTTTATTGCATCTGATATTCGTCCAATGCCATTCCCCTGGCAATCTTCTTGATAAGCGCCTTTTTCAAGAACTGCTCTCGAGCAAGACTTCGCGTTTGCTGTGGACTATTAGCATCTGTTCAATGGAGCAAAACTTGGGACAATAGTAAATACCTTAACAAATACATCCGGGGTAATTCGCCCTTTGTCAAGCGCTCGTCCCAGAACAAATAGCGCGTCTGCAATGCCTTTCTCTTCTGCAGTCAAAGTATACAATTGGCCCCCAACTACTGTGGGCGCTACTAGAACATCATCAACGTCTGGAGCCTTCCTCCTTCTCGCATCTTCCATGACTCGATCTGCCTCGATCATGGCACCCTTCAACACCTGTTCATTCGAGGCAAGCGCTGCATCGAGCTGCTGTAGTTCGCCTAATTCAGCCTGTAATCGAGCATGTGCATTTTGAAGAGCCGCTTGCTGAGCACGAAGTGGTGCTATGGCAGCCATGTTAGATGAAACTGTTTGGTTGATTTGCGAGACAAGCGTCTGGCTGAGAGCCCGGAGAAGCGCATCTTTTTCAGGATTTGGTGGCACCGGTGGCACCGGTATAGGGATTTGGTTGCCTAACTGTGAGGGCAGTGTGACCTCTAGTGAATCGTCGAGAAGGTCGACTGGGGGCTTTGGTGCCTGTTGTGGTTGTTGTTGCTGTGGGTATTGTTGGTTTTGAGGCGGAGGATAACCTGGCGGGTGCTGTTGGTAATGCTGCTGTGCTGGAGGAGGTTGTGTAAACTGTTGTTGCGGAGGTGCCGGGGGTCCTTGATATTGATTTCTCGGTTGGAGAGGAGATACTTGATGAGGTCCCGAGCCTTGAAAGTGTGATGCGGTTATTTGGCCATTGGGCGTCATTGGGATTACTGGACTTCCCGTTTCGAACGACTGCTGAGAGTAGGTATGCGCCTGTACTTGTGGATGTTGAGGCCGTGACATCGACATGTTCCGGTTCTCGTGTCCACTGGGCCCATACTGTTGTCCTGGTGGTGGCGGCTGCTGTTGCTGCTGCTGCCAGTTTGATGGCCCATCATATCTACTCTGAGATTGTTGGGGTGGATGCGGCGGTAGAGGGGGCGGTTGCGAATATCTGTCATGCGGTGTTTGAGGCGTGGACCGCTGTTGTTCATGAGGCTTTGGTGGCTTTGGGGGAGGAGCAGGAGCTTGGTTCGATACGGCTGGTGAAGGCGAGGAAATGGGCGCCCCATGTGCTGCGCGTCGCCATTCAGCTGGAGGTGGAGGTACAGGTGGAGGAGCTTGCTGCGCGGGCACACTTTGCTGCGGCTGCTGCTGTCTCGATCGCACAGGCGGCTCTTTCGCGAAAACGCCGCGCAAGACTGCTAGGAAGTCGAAGAGAGTTGACTTCTACGCCAAAGTCAGCTACCATAGACGTTCTGAATGCGCGCCTAATTCATAGCCTGCAGAGCGCATGAATACTCACATCCCAATACTGCGCCCATTGTGCCAGATACGGATGGTACACCTTCCCATCTGTGCTCACATGCTGTCCAGGCCGCAAGACCATGTCCTGAGAAGGCGTCACGTATACGATAGGCGGTTCTCGCGGGTAGGCATGAGGCACCCATATTGCTACCGGAAAACCATACGTCGCACCACGGAATGTGACAGGCAGCGTGCCTGTGAGGAGCAGTAAGAGCGCTGATACGCCATTCTCGTAAGCTGCTATCGTCAGCCTCTATGCAAGCTCTATTCGAAGATCGACTAACTGTAGGGCTCAGTTCGAACGCTGAGCGACGGGTAGTTGGCAAGAGCCTCGGCCGCGTCGTGATAAGTGCGATTTACGTCCAAGTATTCCTATTATCGTGTTAGCGCAAGTGGTGTGACGCGCCAGGCTTAACTTGCATTGACAAGGACGCTGTATAGCCAATTCAGCACTTTCTCGCTGGCCATTGCAAGGTTGGTGGGGACCTGGGGAGCTCCAAGACATCATCGGAGCATTGAGCATTGCCCCTCAACACCTTGGCAACCCGCCATCGCGTCCCAGACCAGCTAATCCTTCCGTCATCAGTCTTCGTGATAAGCAAGGGTTTCCAGCTGTCGCGTTTGCACCCTCCATAACTCTGTACTAGGCACAATACATGAAATTCAAATCCACGTCTTCAGCCATGTATGGGGGGGTAATGTCAAGTTGCTCGATACATTTCATTCGTAGAGCTATTGCATAACTATAGTACAATATATAATCATCATGTCTCGTCACCGCTTCAGCGAGCGTAGCCATAACCAGCGCTAAAAGAATGTGCGCCTCCCTACTGTACAAGTCCCACCCGGGGTATTAAAATGAATGAATTACTTAATGCTGACTCCACTCAATCGTGTTGAGATCAACACCCTCCTGAACAAGCTCCCACAGCGGACTCAGCTCTCGTAAGAACGTCACCCGCTCCTTGACTGCGTTCAAGACGTAATCGATTTCTGAATCAGTCGTGAAGCGGCCGATGCCAAAGCGAATACTGCTGTGTGCGCTCTCATCGCTGCTGCCGAGAGCTCGAAGAACGTAGCTTGGCTCAAGCGACGCCGAAGTACAAGCACTTCCAGAAGAAAGAGCAATGTCTTTCAGCGCCATAAGAAGTGACTCTCCCTCGACATACGCAAACGATACGTTGACGCAACCGGGGTAATGTCGCTCGCGGTCACCATTCAGTGTGGTGTGCTCGAGTGATAACAAGCCTTCGAGAAGACGATTTGATAACGCTGTGATGCGCTTGGTATCATACTAGACAAAGTCAGCCCAATGTCCCCGACTCTCATGTCTTTGAACAAATGAACAATATAAAGAACTCATAACCCCTGCACATTTGTCAACATGGCGAGTCGACGGCCGAAGCCGCCTAACACTCTGAAAGCCATGCATGTATAAAGCAAATAATCATCGTGGTTGTAAAACAGAGAACAAAAAAAACTTGATACATACCTCCATCTCCTCTTTGCAGATCCGCGCAGCCTCGCCCATGCCGATAGCAAGCGGAGGTGCTAATGTGCCACTTCGCAGGCCGCGCTCCTGGCCACCGCCACTGATAATGGGCTCAAGTCTGACCCTCGGTCGTCGTCGTACGTAGCATGCGCCAATGCCTTTCGGTCCGTAGATCTTGTGTCCAGATATTGACATCAAGTCGACGTTCATCTTGTTGACATCAATGGGAATCTTTCCAACAGCTTGCGCTGCGTCAGTGTGGAAGAAAATCTTCTTTGATCGGCAGAGACGTCCAATCTCCTCGACAGGTTGTACCACACCAATCTCGTTGTTCACGGTCATGATACTGACAATAGCAGTGTCGGGACGCATGGCGGCTTCGAGCTGAGCCATATCAATGAGACCGTTGCTCCCTACTGGCAGGTAAGTGACCGAAAAACCTTCGTCTTGCAAATGTCTACAGCTGTCGAGCACACACTTGTGCTCCGTCTGCGCCGTGATGATGTGCTTCTTCTTGCCACTTCGCCCGAAAAATCGTGCTACGCCCTTGATACTCATGTTGTTACTTTCAGTTGCACCGCTGGTGAAGATGATCTCTTTTGGGTCTGCACCAATTAGATTGGCAATGTTTGCGCGAGCTTCTTCTACGGCCGTGTCGGTCTCCCACCCATAGGCGTGAGTTCGCGAATGAGGGTTGCCGTACATGCCGGTCATGAATGGCATCATCTTGTCTACAACTCGAGGGTCCATGGGCGTAGTAGCTTGCATGTCCAAGTAGATGGGCCGTGATCCCTGGTCCATTACCGTAGCCTGCTTGAGAATGCCTAATTTTGTCAGTCTCATGAGAGGCGGGGTCGAGGGGCAAATCATTCAATCTTACCGGCGCTAGGGCTCATCATGGCATCCGCGCCCATGCCTGTTGTTGGCATTGTCGCATCACTTGGCCGCTCACCTGTCTTGTCTAGATAGGCCCGCTGCTCCTGCTTGATCGCAGTGTCGACATTGACTGTCGCCTGTGAAGACTTGCTCTCGCTGACATAGTGACGACGCGCAGCCGCACCAGCGGTGCGTACAAAGGCTGGCGATGGATAGCGGCGAGAGGCAATGCGCAGGGCCTGCCTCGCGATGGTGGGTGCAATGTTGGGCATAATGGAGGTGCAGTGGTGGAGAGGTGGGAAAGGCAGGTCGCCTCTTAGCTAGCTTGAGCTTTTTCCAATGACTAAGCGGACGAACGGGCCGAGGCACTAGCCGGTCCGTGCGAGCCCACCGCACGCCGAACGCTGGAATTGTCGTCGCCCTGCAGCAGTTGGGCTTTGGGTGCGCGAAAAAAAAACAACGGGCATGTCAGGGGTGACAATGGGTTCGCGGCTCGCATACGCTCCGATCAATAGTCCGCTTGAAGCGGGTACGGGCGTGGTCATCTGCCAACAGTGATATCCCTCGGTGCGTTCCGGGAGTTCCGAGCAGAGCAGGGCTGCGCGCTGCATAGCCACAAACGTCATTGGGACTTGAGCAGCCACGCAGGCGCTCGCGATCCTTGGTCGCTACCTGCTGCCTCTCCCGATCAATCCACCTCCATACCGTGACCAGAGTTTGCCTTTGCTGTGTTCTGCACATCTCTCTTGCACACCCATAATAAAATACTTCCACCATGAGTTGGAAAGGCCTGACCAAGAGCGTTACCCGAGTACGACAAAGTCCCCGCGCTGCTCGGGCATTATGGCTTGCTAACCCAATCGCATAGGCGCCACAAACCTTCAAGCAACGGTTCAATCTTGTACGTCCCCTCGTGTATCACTATTCTTCTGGCATCTTTGCGCTCCTTATTCTCCCGAGAATAAAATTCCACCTCTAACAGTACGTCTTCTAGGGCGAGATTACCAAAGACCCAATCTATACAGATGCCGAACGACGCTTCCAGGAGTTGGAGAAGGAGACAAAGAAGCTTCATGATGAATCAAAGAAGTATGCGCTCGCTTCAAAACTTTCCTCTGCCACTTTTTGCTTACATGTCTAGGTACTTTGAGGCCATAAATGGTACGTTCATACTTCACACGGCCCCGCCAACACCCGCCTAACCATTCCTCCCAGGCATGCTCACACACCAAATCGAGTTCTCGAAAGCCATTGCCGAGATCTATAAGCCAATCTCCGGTCGTATGTCCGATCCCGATTCGTTTCACGACGAAGGCAACGCAGCCGGCATAGAAGCTTGCGAGCAATACCAGGCTGTAGTGCAGGAATTGCAGGAGACCCTTAAGCCCGAGCTCGAAATGATAGAAACTCGAGTCATCCGACCTGCGGATGAGCTCCTAGTAATCGTAAAAGCCGTTCGCAAGATTGCCGCTAAGCGCGATCACAAGCAACTCGACTACGATAGGCACCGCGCCGCATACAAGAAGCTTGAAGAGAAGAAAGATAAGACGCTGAAAGATGAGAAGGCTATGTATAAGGCTGAGAATGATTTGGAGCAAGCCACACAAGACTTCAACTACTTCAATGATCTGCTCAAGGACGAGTTACCGAAGCTCTTCGCATTGGAAAGAGAGTTCATCAAGCCCCTGTTCCAGTCGTTCTACTACATGCAGCTAAACGTGTTCTACACATTACATGAGCGTATGCAACGGCTGGATATTGGTTACTTTGATCTCACTCTGGATATTGAGGCAGCCTACCTCAAGAAGCGCGGAGATACCCAGGAAGAGGCGGAAAAGATATCCATTGTCAAGTTCAAGACCACCGGTGGTGCTCGCGTAGCAGGGGCGAGGCCAGGCCAGTCTAAGTACGCAACAAAGGCACTGGAAGCTAAGGCTGGCCGAAGTTCGTTATCCGAAGAAACGGAAGCACCGCCACCACCATACAGCCCTGGACCTTCAGCAGCCGCTACCGGCGATATCAAGTCACCTGCACTGTCATCAGCCTCATGGGGTTCTGCTGCCAAAGCCAAGGGTGCGGCGCCGCCACCTCCAAAACCCAAGCCTTCTCGTCTCAGTGGGGCACCCGCTGCTGAGACTGTCACAGCCCTGTACGATTACGAAGCCCAAGCTGAAGGTGACCTGAGCTTCTTGACTGGTGACGTTATCGAGATTGTTTCTCGTACTCAAAACGAAAATGAATGGTGGATTGGCAAGGTGCGGGGGAAGCAAGGACAGTTTCCAGGTGAGTTCCAGACCAAAAGAGCCTTCAAAAGTCAAGTCTAATCGTGTTATAGGAAACTATGTCAAACTGAACCATTAGTCGAGGCTCAGTTCGCCTCCTCGTACCTTGCGATTGCGGGGTAACAGTTGTTGAGGCATATCTTCATGGCGCTTCAGGTTTCTTGTTCAATACCAATGTGTTAGATTTGAGCATTCTGCTGTACAACGCATCTCTCAATGATAGTCTTTTTCATCCTTTATTCGAGTGGAATTGAGTTCTTGATCGAAAAAGATCACCAGGTACCCCATGTCACGTGCTGGACAGCTTCCTCTTTGGCAGCATGACTGCGCCACAGTTCAGATCAGTCCTAGCGAAGCAGCAAGGGTCGTTGCGTGCCACCCCGCATGACGTCTGCCAGAGATCCTGGAGACCCGCAGCCCGTATCCGCATGCTCGGGTATGCACGCCTAGGGTTGTCCCACACCAATGCATGTTCTTCTGACATCTGTATTATAGAAACATTACTCTGCTCGTTCTTCCCTTTACTTACAAATCCCCTTTTTGGGAACGACTGATCGACAATGCCGTACGAATCAACCATAACATTTACTCTCGACACAATATGTCCCTGGTATTTCAAATATCCCTCCGCTGTGCATAGCCTATACTCGAACCTAATACAACAAACACAGGACATACATCGCCTTTGTCCGCCTCAATAAAGCCCTCGACGCCTATCGCTCAGCTAATCCAGACTCCCCCGCCAAATTTACCCTCAAGCTCGCCCCATACCAACTCTACCCAGATTTCTACGAAGACGGCGTCGACAGATACGAGTGGCAAAAAGAGAAAAAGTACAATGGGAGCGACGAGAAAATGAAGGCGTACGCGCATTACATGGGCCTGACGGGGAAAGCAGAGGGTATAACGTTTGATTTCGAGGGCGGTCCCATTAGCAATACGCTGCATGCACACCGTATGTTGTACTGGTTGCAGAACAACAAGGGACCTGATGCTGCAGTGAAAGCAGTGCGTAATCTGTACAATCAGTATTTTGAACATAGGGCTGATCCCGCGGGTCGCGAGACGCTGGAGAAGGCGTGTGTGGCTGCTGGGCTGAGTGAGGATGAGGCGAAGAAGTTGGTGGGGGATCAGGAGGAAGGATTGCGTGAGGTTAAAGCGGCGGTTATGGAACAGGCGGGGAATGGGGTGGATAGTGTTCCGTATGTTGTGTTTGAGGGGAGGAAGAGGGATTTTACACATGTTGGGGCGAGGAGTGTGGAGGAGTATGTTAAGGTGCTTGTGCAGGTTGAGAAAGAGTGTGCTTGAGTGGAGGCTGGGTCAAATTATAGCTTTCTGTGCAATTTTGTGTCCAAAAGAATGTTTGGGTTGGTCAGTCATCTTTATTGTTTATTGGTTGTCACGGTATATGCATTTATATGTAGTAAAGCAGTATGGTTTAGATGATTGTATCTATCTAATAATAAATACAAAGCATTAGGATTTGAAGAAATTAGATTACAGCAGCCATGAGGGAGTCCAGAGGAAGCTTCTTCGGCACCAAACCTCTATCGTCCATGATAGTAAACAAAGGAAATATAAGGAAAGTAAGTTCTAAAGGAGTCTAGTCTAGTCGAGTTGTACCAATTGCATGTGTCGTTCTTGATCGCATAAATAGTCGTAGATTATTTACCGGCAGTCAAGGTCAGCGGTGCGGCTGTCAAAGGTGCAGAACCTGTTGTCAGAGACAACAGCAAGCTATTGCAGTTGGTCAGTCAAAGTTCATCTTTTTAGGAAAAAAAAAGGGTGTGGGAATAGGAATGAAAACTCACGTTAATGTATCCACCATCACCACGAGTCCAGAGCGAGTTCTGACGACCAATGTAGAAGCAGTCGTAGTCAGTGTTGAGCGCGCCCATGGAGAGCTTGACACTGGCGACATCGGAGATTCTGCCGCGGTTGGCAACGTCCCACTTCATGTTGTAGCAGGCAGCGGCGACCCAGCGGTTTCGGTCGGGGTTCCTGGCCCACATGGCGTCGACGGTGGCCTGGGTGAAGGTCTCACGGGCGGAGTTCCAGTTGTTGATGGGGAACAGCTTGTCGAGGAGGCCGCTCATGGCTCCGGCGATGGAAGCTCCGGCTCCAATGCCCTCAGCAGCGCCGTTAAGACGGGCTCCGGCCCGGCGCTTGGTAAGATGGGCGTCGGCGTCGACTTTGGTGTCGATATCAGCCTTGACACCAGTATCGATATCAGCCTTGACATCAGCGTCGATATCGGTGTTGATACCGATGTTCAGGGGAGAATCCTTGAGCACATCAAGTGCCGCTCCAGGCTGGACTGCCTGTTAGAAACTCAAGTCCTTCTTGTATGATGGAGGGGAACTTACGATAACGGCAGGGTTGGAATGCTGAGGAGGAACAGCCGCAGCGTTAGTAAGAGCGGCAGTGCCAGCAAGGAAGACGATAGAGAAACGCATCTTGAATTGAGGAGTTGGATTAAAAAGTAAAGTCTTTAAAAGAAAGAGTGAGAGTGGATAGTTGGGAAAAGAGAGCGTGAGTTGCTGTGTTAGCGAGTGATGGTTGTGAGTGTGAGTGATGATTCTGTTTGAGCGGTCGTCCGAACTCCTTATATACAACAATCGAGCAGACCAATTGAGGCTCTTCCTCTCTCGATCGTGAGTCTCTATTGCTTGGATCTGAGGCATCCAATTCACCCACGTGGACGCTAATGCTGCGAGTCGTTGGCCTAAGCGCTCAGTCCCTTGGCCGTGGTGTTGTCTGTGCCAGCAGTAGGATTGGCCTGAATTAACGTGTATAGCAAAGACACGTTGTATTCAAACTTTGTGCTCACCGATTCATGTGCTTAGCCCTATCTTTTTTCTAGGATCACCGGCTAGAACATCACTCCTGCGCCTTCTAGAAGATCGACTAGCATTAGATGAGCAGGCGGTAGGATTGCCCTATGCATTGTAGCTTCACGTATGCCAAACTCAACGTCTGGATGTCTTCTGCTTCATTTTGCTAGTGTTTGAGCTTTGACAGACTCGCAAATGCGGATGCATAGCAGTCCGAATTTTGTTCAGAAGTGACAGGTGTAATATCAGCGATCAATTCTCCTAGCTCCTTCCCCTTATGTCACTGCTGGGTTGTATAGTGGGATTCTCAGGAATCAATAATGTCTTGCTGGATATCAAAAGTGGTGTAGACCTAGACAGTTACTCTAAGGGCTTGTTCAGCTACATCCTTCTCTGATCAGTTCACCACTCCATGGCAAAATCCTCCACAGCAGCTTCAATCCTACCTTTCCCTTCGCTCCTTTCCTTTCGCCATCCAGGGAGTCCCTGAAACGTCTATTTTCTGCAAATTGGCCTTGGTGTTTTCATGGCATTATGTCTTTGCGAGCCTACTAATCAGGATTCCCTGTCTAGACAGCAAGCCATGAGCCACCATGATACCTTACGAAGACACTCACCGTAATTTCATGCATGCACTGTCCTCGAATGCACGATAACATCATGCAAGGAGTAAATGTAGTAGGGCTGCGTTACTTCCTGTCTTCTGCTGTAGGCGTGCATAGAGTTGGACAAATCATCACCTATTAAACTTTATTTGGCACCAGTAAAACGGCGGAGAACCACGATAGGGACCGTGCAGGATGAATGTCGTCATAGGCTGGTTAGATAGCGGAGATGCTTGGCACATGCCAGTCAATCCATACCCTGATTGACCATGAGCGGGTGAATTAACTACCCAAAATAGATACTATTTGGCTGAATTAACTCTGTTGGGGCTGTGACTAGTGAACCAGCCAAGCCTTTCAGGGCTTGTTACTATCCCGGGTGGTGCCAACGTTAGCGAAGGGCTGGCCCGTATAAAGTTTGGATTTTAGCGTTGTCTCCTGCCTTACGCGTGAAACCATGGGTTCTATGTGTGCACTATCCCCCGGTAACACAGCCCTAGCCAATCAGCTTATGTGAACTTGCAGCAATTACTCGGACATTAAAAACCTTATTATCACCACCACGTTGTTGCGATCGAGCTATCCAACGGTGTGGCCTTTACGGTCAAACTCAATCATGCAGATCTCGAGAACTCGAGTGCAACAATAGGGTTAGCACTGTGGCTAAAGTCTTCTAGAAATGCAACAGTGTCTTCTAGGCAGCTTCTAGAGCGCTTCAAAAGGCGAAACTAGAGTGTGATTACACGTAATTTCAAGCCTCACACAAAACGGTGCTGTAGCTGGAGATTGAAGACTTGGTACGGCAATCGATCGCGTTTGTGATGTATGCTGAGCTGGCTTTTTGATACCTGCTTTCTAGTGTCTTTGGCATGCTGACAATTCACTGGATGGTCTGTGTATCAGAGTGTAGTAGATTGGAGATCATAATATAGATGCATGTGATGAAAGTACTAGACACAGGCTTTGTTGTTATCCTTCACAGCCACAACTGCCTAAATCCCAAGATTGAACGGCGAAACAACAACCTCCGATTCTACAGCTTGAGGTCGTATCCAATGCAATATGCGGTCAATCCAACCCCACGTTCCATGGAAATTCCCAACTCCTTCGACGTGACTAATTCGCTCGGTTTCTTGGCAACCTTCCAGCCCTTGTCACATGTACTCCCACAAAGCTAAGCAAGAGCTCGTTGTTTTCATGTGATCGCCCAACGTGCAGCTACGGCCCAAGCCCCTGCATATGGCCATCCAGCCCTGTCTCCTTGACGAAATGCTCGCCTTACGCACTGGCATCGGGGCAGAATCTAAACTTAAATTCTGGAGAAATTATGGCGCTTAGGATCGATACAGGAGGTGTGGAATTCGTATGCGGAGATTGTTGGGGGAAGATGGAGATCGGGAGGCTTGCTTGCAAACACTAGTCTTATGTGTGTGGCTTGCATGTAATGTAAGAGAAACTTGTAAGGCACGGAGTGATCTGAATATAAGTAGAAGAAGAGAGCTCGATGTGAGGAAAGGCAGGAGTAGCGATGGATATAGGAGGATATGTTAAGAGGAGGATATTGTAATGAGGAGTGCTGCTTCGTTTGTGGTAAGAATAATCCAAACGTCCGTCGAAGATCTATACTGAAAAATAACCTAGGTATATCCCGGAAGAACTTTTGTATATAGCTTGTTTCAATCTGTAGAATAGGGTCAATTAGTATTGCAGTTCGTTTACAGATATAGGAGGCATTGGGGAAGCCATGAGCCTACCTATTTTAAACGACTAGAAATCAGAGCAGGGTAAGTGCCGTAGTTAAAATGATTTGGGAATAGTAGAATAGTATTGAGGCATCTGGGTAACGTATATATGCCTCATACAATCTAATGTAGTGTAGTAACTGCGATAGTATAGTGAAACATCATGCATCCATATACTACAGAATGCTATTTGTATCCAGACTCAAAGAGTCAGTATTTGCAGACTGTGGTCTATATGCTTCATGTAATCTGATGTAGTAAAATGTTTTCAATGGTTTAACACAACGTCACATATCTAACTTCCACAGAGTGTTATTTGTAACTAGATGAATGAATTAATGTGATCAAACTGTGCGGTCCAATATATAAGTAATACATGAACATACACATAGGAACGCTGTGGTATCGATAGGAGAAGATTTTACAGCTTTTTGCAGTCAAGTATTGAACATCACTACATGGAATTCTCTTTTCAAAATGTCAGAAACTGTATAGTGGTCAATAACAAGATAGAATTCACAGAAAAATCTTCTTATGGGCTAGAAGAACATGTATTTTCCGATATCCTATCACAAGAAGAACTAGAGACGCTTTTTCTTGATATGATATATTACAATAACCACATCAACAGCCAAAGAAGGGGGGTACTGCAAATTCTACCTGGTACAATTCGTCACAGTCACGTCCAAGTACCCAGGCTGCTCAAAAGAATTGAAAAGCGTGCAAACAAATTTGAGACACCGTCTTCCCCCCCTTATTTCATCAGATAATGCCAATCTGAGCTGATAGCTATTACCTAGAGAGACTAAGTAAAGAACGGAGCAAACCTCGATACATTCTATTTATCACATAAGACTAAATACTCAGACAGCAAAACTCCGCTCACAGCATCATACCTTACTATAGTATAATCTGTTTCATCTTCATGGGCTATGTACTTGTTGGAAAAAATTACCACAATACTAACATCATGCATATCACGATACTACTGAAACCGCAAAACAACGCTTTCCCAACCGCAAACCCTTAATCGCTAAAAGTACAGAATTACTCTTCATTCAATCCTCTAATGTAACAAGCGCATTGATATATACACACCCCAAACGGTAATGCTCTAGTTATCTTAT